TAAGACAAAGCCATGTTTAAAAAATGAATGTTCCCTTTCAATTTCCTGCTTTAAATTGATCTGAAGCATGAACTTTGTAGATGACAATGCTTTGTGCTGCAATGTCAAAAGTTGACATCCTTGTGGCTAATCTATTCATGAGGGCAGAGTCTTCATGAGTTGATCACTTCTAAATTACTCTATTCTCAATACCATGACAGGGGAGACTTTTTTCTTTTTATTTATTTTTCTCTCATATAATATACATCCTAATGACAGTTTCTCCTCCCTCTATTCCTTTAATTCCTCCTACTGCCCCTCTCCCCAAGATCAACTGCTTTTCTCTTTCTCTTCAGAAAAATGCAGGTCTCCCTGGGATCAAAACCAGATACAGAATATCAAGATGCAGTAACACTATGAACAAACATTGGGAGTCTGGATGAGGCAAACCAGTAGGGGGAAAAAGAATACCAAGAGCAGTCAAAGGAGTTGAAGATACACCACTCCCACTGTTAGGAGTCCCACCAAAGCTCCAACTAAACAACCATAAAATATATGCAGAAGACATAACTCACACCCATACAGGCCCAGTGACTGTTGCTTCAGTCTCTGTTAGTCCCTATGAGCCCTACCTATCTGTGGGCTGTGTTCTTCTGGTGTCCTCCACCCCTCTGACTCCTATAATACTTTCTCTCCCTCCCTTCTGGGGTTCCCCAGAGCTCTGTCTAATGTTTGGCCGTGGGTCTCTGTATTGTTTCCATCAGTTGCTGAAGGAAGCCTCACTGACAATGACTAGGCTAGGCACTAGTTTATGAGTGCAGAAGAATATAACTAGGAATCATTTCATTGACTTTTCTTCTTTTGCCAGTTGTGTTTGGTACTACCCTAAGTCTCTGGGCTCTTAAAGTTCTGGTTTCTGGCCATACAGGTATTGTTAGGCATGGGTTCCCTCTCTGTGTTGTGGACCTCAAGTTACCACAGTCATTGATTGGCAACTTTCACAAGTTCTGTACCACCATCGCCCCAGCATATGTTGCAGGCATGGCAGGTTTTAGGTGAAGGTTTTGCGGCTGGTTGGGGTCCTAGTCCCATCACTGGAAAACTTATGGTCACGAACAAGTTTTGAATGGGGTATAATGAATTGGGTGAGACCACAATGAAATTCAAGCTCATAAACATTGTACACAAGAAACTACACTTGAAGATTATGGGAATTGTTTTTCCAAAGTCACAGTGTCAAGAAAGTAAAAACAAACAGACAAAAAACCAAATCAAACTGACAACAAAAAGAGTCAATCTGAGAACTGAGAGGAAAACATGGGCTTCCTGTTTTTATCTGGACCAACCATGCAGTTCTTAGAAATACCAGAATAAATCAAAAGTTGAGGAACTTGTCTGAGATTTTGAGGCTTCTGTCTGAGACATTTAAGCCTTGTGCTGCGATTATAGAGGTACAGTAACTTACCAGTGTTAGGAGGAAGGGAGACAGCAGAGATAGACTTTAATGTAAATTTAGGCCATCACATTCATTAGTATTATGTGATTTCCCCCCTTTTGTCTAGCTCTAGACTTGTGGATGATAGTTATAATTTGGAAAAACAATATGCATAATTTTATATATAACTTTCTTTGAAATTTTAAGTAAATTATATCCTGAAGTGTGAGCTTTCTTGTTCTCAAGGCATGTTAAAAAGTTATGGATGCATATTTTAATGGATATAGTCACATTGCCTTGCAAGATTAAAATAACTTAATTCAATATAAGAGAGCATTATGTGCCTCAAATAAAAAGACTACTGCTTCAGTTACTAACACTCTTTACAAAGTAGTTTCACTGAGGTATGACACATGGGTATATTTTGTTTTCAGTTTGATGCTTTAATGGATACATTTAATGAACACTCTGACTTCCAAATGATTCCTAGTTCTATGCTGCAACAACTAGACAAAAGGAGGAATCACACAACACCCTAAGTTGTGGGAATGGAACCCAGGCCCTTATGCATAAGTGCTTTCCCTAGCTGTATCTGTTTGTACTGCTTATTAGCAATTTGCAATCTGTAAACTGCCCCTCCCTGCACTTTTCCTTTGATTTTAGACTTCTAGGTGGCATACCTGGAACATAGGTTTACAGTTTTCTCTCCTTGTCATTTGGGCTACACAGACCCAGATGTGATCTGCTCATTCAACTATGAGTGCTAGCCTCCTCCTTGCTCATGAGGGTTTACAGAATTCACAGTTGGTTCTTCATCACAACAGGATTTGTCTGGGGAAAATTTACATATAAGTCTATCTGCTTCCACAAGGAAATATTGCTGGGCCAGCTACTACGGTTGCCATGTACTAATGACAGGCAAAGTTGACATATTGTGAGCCTGTTACCTGGTTTGTTCATACTTAGGCAACATCTTCAATTATGTAAAGTCAGTGAGTTCACCTGTTAGATGCTTTCCTTGTGTACTGGTTCTATGGTCTATAGCTCCCCTTTTATAAGTTGTAGACACGTGAGCCTCCTTTCTGTTTGTTCAAAGAATCTGTCTCGTCCCCACCTGAGCGCTACTATGTTTTCTATCCTCCTTTAGGATGCACCGGTGCAGATCTTCAAATAAGCTAGCCTCTAATATTGCTCAACTGCTAGGTGAGGGTGACTGCATTGATCATGCCCCTCCCCCAGCACTCATCCTGTAACTTTCATACGAGAATATATTCCCTAGCACTTCTTAATTGCTACATTTCTTTCTTTCACTTATTAATTGCTAGCTAAACTTCTCCATACATAAGCACCATCATGCAGATAGAAAGAGGCTTACCAGAACAATAATACACTAAACAGTAATAAAATGAATAAAAATACAATAAATGATAATGAAATAATATTTTCAGGGAGGCAATGATCAGTGAGTGTTTGCTATATACATAGGTGTGCAGTGACTTCTTTTTGTTAAAATTAAAATCCTAAGAGTAAGTAAACAGGCCTACCGAATTCCTAATCACCATTTGAACCTGGATAAATAGCATTTTTTCAAGGATCTTCCAAACAGATATTTTTATCTTCTCTCACAGCCTTTTAAATATTCTATTTTTGTGTGATAATTTCCTTGTCTTCATTATTAGTTTAAAATATAGAGGAATTACAGGACATGTTTGACTTACTTTAATACATATTTCAGATTTCAGAAGAGCACCAAGACTGGAAAGATATTTGCTGAAGTCAGAAAGAAATAAAAATCAATAGCATGCTAAGACTGTTGACTATTCCATTCGATTATTTGATGTGAAATATTTAAAGCATACATAAATGATGAATATTATTATGCTAATGTTAATGTACTCACTGACAGCTTTAAAACATTGATATGAAGATATTCATTCCTCATGTAGTTGTCCTACAATCTTCTTTTTTCTGATCCTGAAGTTAGTGTCTTTACTATTATTTACTGTGTGTTTGCACGGATATTTTCCATTACTCTCTCTGTGTGACCTGCATGTGTGAAAATACATTTACACTATTCAGGACTATTCGTAATTATTTCTAATGAGTATAGGGGTCATTTTACGACTTATTTCCTCATTATTATGTTTCTCGGATTGTCTGTGTTGATGCCTTTAACAGTCGATCTCAGAGGTGAGATCACTTATTTTAACTGCTATGTAATATTCTCTTATGGAGTGCTTCCATAGCTTCTTTGTGTATTATCTTGGAGAAAAGGCATTTAATTTCCCCTTCTCACTTTTAACATTCTCATGTAATTATTGGTAGCTTTGGAATACATTACTCCAAGGATTATACTGAGACATATTTCTGTTTTGAAATAAGGGTGTTCTTTATTATTAAGAACAAATGCATAGGAGCCAGGGTTCAAATACTTATTGGCCCTTACTAGTACTTCCAGGAAGCAGTGGGCACCAGCTATTTTCTGCTCTTCTCCTGAGTATGCATGCCTTACCTCAGCCCTTGGCATCAAGCAGTCAACTTGGCAATGGTATTTTTGGCGCTAGTGTGTCCTGTCTGAGCCAATTCCTGGCTGCTACTACCTGCTTTTGGAGCCAGAGACCAGCAGGTCTGAAGCTTCGTGTAATAACCAATTTGCATTTGGGTTCCATTTCTGATCCACTGAGAGGTTTATTTATTTATTTATTTCTGAGCCTGGGGATTGACTTCCTTTCTAAATATTTTATTGACCATTGCAGTGAGTCTATAGCAGAGGCAGTAAGTGAAACATGAATTTATTTCGATGCCTATAATCAGAAAGGTGATAATACCTGGACGACCTTTTAAAATAAGCACACACTTGTCTAATCATGGGTTTTTCGAGCTGGAAGGCATTTTACAGAAAAGGCCAATAACCTTACTTTATAGGTGAGGGAATTGTGGTCCCGAGAAACTAAGTGATTTAGTGATGTCACATCTGTAGTTGATGGTGGCAAGTCTAGACTGAAGCCCATGGGTCCACTCCATTCTCCCTTTGCCACCACATCCACTGTCATAGTGTGTTTTTTCTATAAGCCAAGATTAAATGTAGCACTTTATTTTTAACAGGACCAAAAGATTGTAATAGAATTCAAGAAATTAGAAAAATGGCAGCATATTTAGAAACTAATGTGAAATGTTTTCTCTGAGATAGGTTTGAGATAAAAGTGACAGTACTCTCATTCCCGAGCTGAGTATATTTTTATTAGAAGGTGCGGTGTCTTTGACTCTGGGTTCCTGGTGCATTTGGTTTCCTTGACTTTCTGAAACTTATTAGGATGGGTCCATCAATAATGCTGCGGATATTTCCAACCACCTAGAGTGTTGGGCCTGAAAATGAACTGTGATGAATGAATATGACCAGCATCGATAGTGATAGCCTATATTTCTTTCTACTCTCGTGTAGTCATGGCTGAGTGTTTAATTACAAAGAAAGTAATAAAGAACAAGTGTTCCTTCTTATTAGCAATTCTGAACTTTTTAAGTTATGTAACTTAGAATCCAGTGTTGTTGTTAAAACCTTTGGAACTGTTTTATTCTATTTTTCCAGATCTTTTAGCTGTGCCTAAGCATCCATATGCTGCTATGGAGAACTGGGGACTAAGTATTTTTGTGGAACAAAGAATACTGCTGGATCCCAGTGTTTCATCTATTTCGTATTTGCTGGATGTCACCATGGTCATTGTTCATGAAATATGTCACCAGGTAGGAGAAAAGGAAGAGGTGTAAGTATAATGTGAAACTGTCTAGAATGTTGGGTGACTTCGCACATCTAAATGAGGAGCTTGGTTTCTATCCTCCCATCTATGTTTTATACAAATCACTGTGCATGGCATGCCATTTTTCCTCAGACAATAAGGTAAACACACATACATAAACTGATGGTACTGAGTAAGTAGCTACCACTGGGTTTAGTTGATGGAGTGACTGCACCTTCAGAGCTCCCGTGTAGTTGCTGATCAGTCACGCTTCTGTTTCTTTGATTATTAGTGTACATATAGGAAGTGCAGTGAGAGAAGTGATTTATTGTATTGTGGAGAGATGCAGCTGAGTTTTGTGGATGTGTCAAACTTTGCTCTTGCCAAAAGTGTTTTGTTATCCTTCTTTCCCCATCATGTAGACACACAGGAAGTCTTTCACTAACTCAGCTCTAGACTCTGCTCAAAGCAGTGATATATATATTTTTTAACTTGGAGTATTACAAATTCATATGCAAATTGGACAACTTCAGAGTGAAACTAAGATAAAAATTAATTTCAATTTGAGTTTATTGGCTTTCTTACCAGTGGAAGGTTGTAGATTGTTATTTTGTAACACTTGTTAAATCATGATTTTGGTGAAAAAAAATCACCGAAAACAGACATTGTTAACAGATAGCAATGCTCATCCTACTTGCTGGGAACTATGGGTACTATTTATGCTTTAAAAACCAGAAATCTCAGTGTGGTGCAGTATGAATTTATATGTTATAAATTCCAAACACTGAAAAAGAGAGCAATGTGAAAGATGCTGATTGTGAAGAAAGATGAGCAGTTAAATGCTTGCTAATGGACCTGATTTGATGAGGTCTACACTGGGTGACCATTTGCCTGAGTAACTTCTGCCTCTTGCAGTGAACCAGTGAGAGAGTCATAGCCTTGTGTTCACCCAGTCAGACATGGTTCTGACCCCAGGTTACGGAGGAGTCACTCTAGGTGTAACTTGGGTTCTTCAGTGCCAGGGTGGTTCCTCCCTTGACTTACAATTTGTAATTTCCTTTTGGGATATTCCTGTAAGTGGAAAGAGATCCGTGAGTCTGTTGAGAGGAGGCAGTGGTAGTACTGCAATTGTTCAGGGCTGTGCATCTTCCACGTTTCCTGTTACATGTGAGTTTCCTGAGGTAGCTCAGTAGTAGTAGGCCCCTTACCACAAAGAAATGAGACAACCGAAGAGAGACGTCTGTCATGGTTTCACTATGATCGCCACACTTGATTTCTCTATTATCCTCCTCACCTGTTTGTTGTCACAATTCTGAAGACAGGTTGTCAATTTGAAAGAGAAATGTGTATCTTGGATACAGCAAAACATTCAAAATAAAGACTGCATGGCCATTACCATATTTGGAACTGTATTTTATTTCTCTTTGAATTCTCTTTGAGATTCCTTAGAGGAAATGATAATTAATTATTCCCATTGGAACACTTGTTCATGTCCTCAAGTTACCCTTATGGTGACCTTTGAAGTTGTCTATGATCTGGTATCTGTCAAGACAGTTTCATTTTTCCTTCCAATTGGTCAGCCAGAACCAGCTACTTCTTCTGATTTTCATTCATCCATTTCAGTCTGTCCCTGTAATGTCACAATAAACAAATGGTTTCTTCCTCTATACAGTAGGCCTTCCAACCTCTGGAGACAGTTCCCACCAGCTTTGATTCCTGGATCCTTTCTTTATTAAGTATTCATGATGGATTCCTTGATTCCTGCTTTGTTCTTTCCTGAGCACATTCATGTGAGCACTCTTCAGTCGTCATATTAATCACTACAGTCTTGCCCCAACACATTTTAAGATCACAAAAACAATTTGGGAATGACTTCCATTTATGATAATCACAAATTAGCAATTTGATTTTACGTAAGATCGTTCTGAGATGGATGCTGTTTTTTTTCTAATGTTCATTCATTTCATTCTTGTAGTGGTTTGGTGACCTCGTGACTCCGGTGTGGTGGGAAGATGTGTGGCTGAAGGAAGGCTTTGCTCACTATTTTGAATTTGTGGGTACAGACTACCTCTATCCTGGCTGGAACATGGTAAGTGCCCTTTTCTTTTATTATATGGAATGCCCACGAAAGTTTGAGCTGGTGTACACTGAGCTTATGTCACCATTAGAGATATCTGAAATCACGAAGCAATGCATGAAAGTATTCTGCCAATAAAGGAGAAATAAATGATAAATTCCCAGAGTTACCTTTTATCTTTTTTTTTCAAAAAATTAAATAAAATCTGACTTGTCATATACTGTCTCCAAAATGTCACCATTTATACAAATGGAAACAATTTAGATTGCAGAATTTTATAATATGAATTATTATGTTAGCAATAATAAAGGAATTTCCTTTAAAATAGAGTTTATTTTAATTCATAAGTGACATTTTAAGTATATGAAATATTTCAAAATAGAGAAAAATGACAGCACAATTTTGCTTTCAAGATCTGAACCATACTGATTGGATAAAATATTGTGATGTGTTATTTCTATTGGTAGGTGTATTTTAGGATTGAGTGACTTATAACATGTCAATAACTTTTCTTCTCATGCTATGCATGTTACTTGTATGTTATAGGAATGTGCTGAATTATGAAACTTGAGTAGGGTTCTTAGTGCTGCAAGCTGTGATGTTTTAAATCTCTGAAAGAAAAAGTACACAATGTGGTTTTTATGTGTTTTTACATTTTCATTTTACATAAGCTTCCATTTGCCTATCATTGACTATATCAGTATTGAATAGAACCCACAGTAAATACTGTTTTAGAACTCAAAATTAAACTAAATTTTCATTTTATTTTAATTGGTATTAACACATTGAATAAAAATTTTAGTGTACCAACATTAAACTTTTAGAGACTCAAATTTCACTTATGATCTATCTATCTATCTATCTATCTATCTATCTATCTATCTATCTATCTATCCCTGAGTGCCCTACAAAAATTTCTACACATTTAATATGAACAGTGGTGTGTTTTGGAGTATATTTTACAGGCTATCAGGTAGTTCAGAGATAGCGACCTTGCTAGCATGCACAAGGCCTTCTGTTTGATCTCCAAACTGAAAATAAATAAAGAAATAAATAAAGAAAATACTATTAAAGACATTTGAATTAAGCCATAACTACTCTTACAAATTATTGGAATATTCATTAGCAAATGTGAAATTTTAATTCTTAAATGTTTAAGATGATTAAAACATCTCAGAAAGTGCTTTTTGGTTTTTAGATGACTTTGAACCAGATTTAAATTTCATTATGCTGTGGATTATTACCGATTTATAATTTCATTATACCTCAATATTAAAATATGTTCTTATTACAAATGTCATGTCACACATATAGGTAAGGCTTTTTTTAAAGCTCATTCAGCTGATTGTAATAAAATCCTCTCTATTCATAATTATGAAATGTACATCTTAGATTAAAAAGTAATCAGCAGAATAGTACGTGGGGTGAAAATGGATAGAGTTTGATGGGTTTAAGCATGGTTGGATAGCCTTGGTTTCAATGCCCTTAGATTTTATCTTGAAATGTTTTGTGTATTTTATTAGCTATGCTAGAAGCCTAAGTCTTAAGGAGAAGATATTTCAAAGAGGTATTAAGAATGAACATAAAGTATAAGTGACTTATCTTTGTCCTTTTATAGAATACATATTGGAAGCATGCAAACCTTGACATGTTAAGATATAAGATTTTGTTTATTATGAGTCAATACACAGTAATGACTTGGAAATAAATAGTGGCATAAATACAGTGACTCAGAAAGTTCACCCTATCAAATTAAGAAATGAGAGAAATCTCCATTAGCATTAATATGGCAATTAATTGAGATAAATTTTCTTTATTTTCACTTTTAAAAAATGCAAATACTTTTTGATCCTTGGTAGCATTTTGCTTTTAGGCATTTTTTAAAATTTTAATGAAATAGTTCCATATACTAAATTCACAAACTCCATAATAAGAAACCCTTTGAACAGATTAGCCCTCCATAAAACATTGATATCTTCTTTGAAAATAAAATTTCAAGAATAGGTTAGTCACATAAATAAGAAAAGATGTCAAAGATGTCAAGTGGCTGCATGGCTGTGCCAGCACTATTTTTCATAATGGCACCAGCAAAAGTGCAAAAGAAATACTCTACAAAATAAGAGTGATGGCACACAGCAGCAGCTCACTATTGTGGTATGTGCAGAAGCTCCTCTATGAGTGCATGTCCTGGGCTGCACTGCAGCCAAGCTGAAAATAGAAATACCAGAAGCCAGACTCATATCAGGACTGAAGATATTCAGAAAGTTGACCTTGTTTGTGTCTAATCTCAAAGACGAATGCTTTTTATCATTTTTAGACACCAGGACTCAAACACTGAAATAGAGTTCCAATTTGCTAGGACTATTACTATAACAATATACCTTGCATGGGACAGCAATAAAGAAGCCCAGAATTATATAGTATTGTTAAGGAGGTTTTCTACTGAGATGGGCTGATATCCCTGCTTAGTTAACAGTTGCTCACAAGACCTTTAAGTTGTATTATGCGAGTGGTCATGTATTTGCAGAAATTTTAGTCAATACTAAAGCAATCAGTTTTTACATTGCAACTACTATGTGGAATAAAAATATCCATTTCTCCTTGAGGAAAATGCCTGAATTTACATTTTATAGATATGAGTCCTCTTGAGTATTATGATGTGAGATCAGTAGAATGAACTATAAACAAAAAACAAATCAGATTTTAAGAGAACAATTCACCTAAGTCATCATTGGAGTTCTTTTTGTGTTGGTCATCTACTGCTAAATAAAATAGTTCCATTGTGTAGGAATATTACTATACAATATACTGTGCATGGGGCAGCAATAAAGAAGCCTGAAATATATGGTAACGTTAATGAGCTCTTGTTCTGACGTGGCATGATATCTCTGCTTAGCTAACAGTTGCTCAGAAGGAACTGTGAGTGGCCATTAAACCATAAGTGTGGTTTGTATCCACAGTGAGACTCCACTAGAGAAAACAAATTTTTCCTTTTGGATTGATTCTGTGTCTTTTTTATTCTGTTCAGTGACAGGGTATTTTCATTGAAAGACTAGATAAAAGCAGGAGTGCATGCTTTAGTGTCTTGGGAGCTTGGTCTTGAAAATAGGCCTCCTTTGTGTATCTCCTATACCTTCCCCTCTTTTTTTAAAAAATTATTTTTTCTTGCTTACCCAACCACAGTTCACCCTCCCATCCCTGCTCAAGCTCCCCCACACCCTGCCTCTCCTCAACCCCCCTCACACACACCCCTCCAAAAAGGTAAGGCCATGGGGAGTCAAAAAAGCCTGGCACATTAAGTTGACTCAGGACCAATCCCCTCCCCGCTGCATCAAGGCTCCTTACCCTCCCCTCTTCTATCTGTAAATGTGTTTTTCTGCTAAAAGCAGAAGCCTTTAAAAAATAGAACAATATCTCCTCAACCCCCTATGTTGAAAGACCTGGAAACCATGCTTCCCTATTCTGAGAGAGTCAGTTTTACTTTTTCCTTAGCATTAGTGCTAGTAAAGTTCACCATTTGTGCCTGATGAGCTTGTTGCAAAGAGGAGTGTGAGAGTGGCTGTGAGAACATCACCTCCTGCACTAGAGTCTTGCAAGTGTCATACCTGAATCAGTGTATGCAAGAGTTCCCTGATGTGCCTTGTGCCCCCATAGACTAGATTCTCAACAAGGCTCAAATGAAGCTAATCCAGGAACAATGTCAGTGTTAAGACCAAATCTGCCACCTGTATCCTAACCACAGTGGATACAGAGAAATTAAGTATTTCTACTGTGTACCACTTAAAATAGCAACTGTGCTCATTGTTTTAACACTTTCAAATAGTGTTCATTGTGATTGCTATAATAAGAAAATGTGCTCCTATCCCCATCTTAGTTCTACCTCTTTCTTTGTGCAGGAATAACTTCTGCTAGTAGACCTTGACATTTGTTATGAGTGTCAGGAAGGCCACTCATCTGGGAATGTTTGAAGTGTTAATTGGCTTAACTTTATGGCTTTCATACATTTTTGAGCTTAAAATTGTAACTGAAGACTAGATGGTGATTTTTACTTTTTTTCCAGTTATTTATAGTTTTGAAAGTCAAAATTAAAACTTGGGTTTTATGGGGGGTGATTGATGCTTTAGAGGAACCTCAGTGTTACCACGGTGTATGTATGTGTGTGTGTGTGTGTATGTGTGTGTGGTGTTTGTGTGGTGTGTGCATGTGTGTGTGATGTTTAGCTTGCAGCTTTCACTCACTAACACAGTTGTAGAAAGAAGAGCATAAAGAAGCTGTGATTGTCAGTACACACACACACACATGCACACACACACACACACACACACACACACACACACACACACACACACACACACACCTGTCTATTCAGGGAGTATCTGAAAGGTCTTCCAGAGAGCTGCCTCACATTTTTCTATGTGGATGTTAAAATTTAAGACAAAGCTCCAAATGAAGAATTTCGTACGTGTTCTTAATGGATGATTTTGTAAAAAGCAAAACCATTTTTTTCTTCTAGAAAGAAATTGTTTCAGGTTTTTGTACTTTAAACCTAGAGATCAAAGATAAATGAGCATTACCTGGGGTATAACACGTTTCAGCTGAAGAACTTGTTCCGATTTGCACGGTGCCAAGGGCTTTGAACATTTCCTTAAACTTCAAAACCAATACAAATTTTACAGGGTTAGACACTGTCTAGGACGAAACCACCAACATCTTCTGAAGCCTGGTATAGTGAAAGTTTATTTTTCTCATGCTTAGTACTATTGCAGAGTTACACGTCTCATTCTTTGAAAGAAGGGTTAGCTGTAAACAGACTATTCCAGCTTACAACAACAAAACCATACTGCAAAAACTTATGCTGAAATATCCTTTTAGTTATTGTTATTCTGAAATGCATAGTATTGATCATAGCAGATTATACCACTATTATAGCTGTTATGCTCCTTGCTTCTGGTTTAAAATGTTGTCTTTCTATAGCATAGAAATTAAAAGAAATCTGGTAATAATTATAATTT